GGGACGCGGCCTAGGAGACTAAATCTGGTGCTGAAGGCCTGTCTCCTTGAGAGCCATGCGAAACGGTTCAAAACAACTCAGCCTCCCTGCTCATGGGAAAACTGAGCTAAATGTTTGAGCGAGGATCAATTTTCCGCTTGCCCTGCTGATTTACCTTGGATGATTCAGCTAGTAGCTCTTGCCACCCACATTTTCTAATGCTCACGAACCTTGAGGGTCAGGAATAAAAATGAAATGACAACATGAACTCTCTGCAGCAGTTTTGTTTGAAAGTGAAGATATTGCCTGGGGTAACATTGTGCTCTGGCTGCTGCATAGAGCAAGCAGGGGCCTCTGGGGTATGAGAAATATAAACAAGAGAAAATCCACTGATGTCAATGCACTGGTACAGCAGAAGGCAGAACTCGGCTCACAGAACATGAGTCAAATGTTAAACAGCATTCATTGCACACAGAGCAAGGACAACATAGAAGGGGCTTCAGCCATTTTTCATATGTAGCTGTAGACCCAGAAGGCCTACATGATATGTTTTGGAATAGCTCAGAATTCTACAGTGATCCAAGCGTTCCCAACAAGTACCTCAGGAGACCTACACAGATTACAGTTTTTCCAAAATTTTCCAAAAGTGTCCCTTCACAGCATCTCATGAAATAAACAGCTGCTTATGAGAGCTTTTGCATCTCTGGCTGAAGTTAGTCTATAAAGGTGCTTGTACACATGATGGGGGCTCAATCCCTAAGGTTTTATTTTATGCCCCCTAAATTGAAACGGCAAGTTTTTAATTGAAACCCATCGTTTACATTTTCCATCATGTTACAGCGAGGGGCCCAATCTTTTTTTTTTTGCCAGAGCTGGAGCTGGAGCCAGCGCCAGCTCAAGTTGCTGGTGGGCTGAGCAGCCCCTGAGCTGTGGGGGGCCCTGGTCCTTCCCTTCACAGTGGTGGCACCTCTTGGGTTTGCCCAGGCTAGCTGCTAGCAGGTAGCACCCAGCCTGATCCAACTGTTCCCCAAGCCCGTCCACTGGAAGCCTGCCAGATGCTGCTCCCCAGGTGGGGTTGGGGAACAATTGGATTGAGCTGGGTGCTGCCTCTGAGCTGAGGCAGCACCCAGCCTGCTAGTAGCCCACCTGGGCAGCCTGGGGGTGGGGTGCTGCCACTGTGGAGGGAAGGACTGGGACCTCCACAGCTCAGGGGCTAACAGTAATTACCACACTCCAGCAGACTTGATTAATCAAGTCTGCTCCGACAGGCTGTAATTACAATTTAATTACAGTGCATCAGAGCAGCCTCTGCGCTTGTGCACAAGCACCCATAATGTGTGATGGAGACACACACCTGAGATGGGAAGTGG